ATGGACCGTGTGAATAATCTCGAGTGTTCAAACTAAAGTAACACGTAAGGCGTCAGGAGAACAACGAGAGAGTTTGCCGTATTTAGAACAGCAGAATAAACTTCACCGCCACCGGCTCCCCGGGAGTCCGTGAGAGCAGCGCTACAGAACAGAGGACGAGGCGCGTTTAAATGACCAGAAGCGACTCCTGCGGAAGGGAAATCCTGTATGACTGCGGCAGCATCGATGATTGAGTGAAAAGTTGCAGTTATCATCCTATGTAATGCTGCTAATGCATGCCGCTAGTGGTACACGACGACGTTCCGTACGGTGCACAAACAGTTATGAAGTATGTGCCATTTTTAGTAGGGTGTTATTTACTATAAAAAATTTACTGTTAACACACAAGCTAATCAGCCATCGATTCGCAGCTGTTTTGTCAGACGACTGTTCACACCTGTTTCAACGTCACGCTGTTAAATTTTGTCATAAACTTTTATTGCCGCGCTGATAATTAGAGCGTATCAGAAAACGTAAAAAAAAATTCAAATTTTTGGAGTTAGGTTTCACAATAGTGCGGAAAAGTTGTGGATGTGCAAAAAATGATGTGTGCAAAATTTTAGACCTCTTTGATGATTTATTCATGATTCAGGGGTCGTTTTAAATTTTCAAAGATATAAAAAAGAACATGTATATGAAAAAATTTCTTAAAATCCAGATAGCCTTTTTAGAGGTCCCAATGGGTAAAAATCATCATAAAAAACGCTTTTAGAATATATTTTCCTTGTTTCAAGCTTTGCCTTATCATCATCATAACTAGAGAATTTTCAGAAAATCATAATTTTGGTTACTATATGGTCGCAATAGGCAAAAACCATCATTATATCATCTCTATTATTCATGTTTTGATTCCTGAAGCTTTAATAGCTTCATCTGTATGATCAGAGGGTCACTATAAATGACTTATAGCCCTACTCATATGCTTTTAACTTACGTAATTTTTTATACATAAGGCATCAGAACTGTTTTTCCAAACTATTTACAACCTTGATATTGATTTACAAACTACTTGTTCTATATAATAACAACTGGCAACGTGTTGATACCTTCAAAACGATTTTAAATGTGATATCGCTTGATACAGAATTTTTGTCAAATACATAAATAATGAGGCTTAATGAAGATCTGGCTACATTATGGTTACCTTAAATCCATTAGGTATCGCAGAATTCGTGTACTTTGGGAGTGAAGGAATCCTGAGAGGATTGTCAATCCCAAAAAGAGGAGCACGACGAAGCTTGGAAGCCATCTTGCTAAGTAAATCACTTTGATTTGATTTTACTTGAATTGTCACACGCTGAATTTGAGTTATCACTGTCACAGAACTGAAATTTGTAAGATCATGTAACTTGTATCAAATGTAATTAATATAAAGCTAATGTAAACAAAAGTGGCCTCAAACTTGAGGCGGAAGATAAATGGCATATATTCCACGAAAAAATTAACCTCTCTTATGAACACTTTTACGTGGGCTTAGCCCCAATAATTGACGATAATCTATTAGTACGTTAGACGATAATAAGACGACAATAATCACAGAAAAAAGCCTAAATTAGGTTGAGTCTGATCCCCACATGGAAAGTAATAAATGCTTTATTTTCCACTGCACACCAGTCGTAAGTCCGGTTCTATTACATTTCAGTGAACTTTCCAAAAAATATATATATAAGAACAGTTTCAAATTTGATATTGAATTCGCGGGTGAAGGAAATTTGTAAAAAAAATCCGGTTATGTATACCTTGAACTAAACAAAACTCATTTTAATTTTATAGTAATGAATCATAAATTCATTTTCCTAAATACTTCTACAAGAATTGTTAATAATCTTTCCTCCAACCAGTTCAGTACACCACGGCGCAAGAGTTTTGACAGAATTAAACTACCAGAATATTCTCATGGAACTAGAGAGGTTTGAAATATCAATTCTAAAGATTTCAATTTCAAACACGATAAGTCAGTAATTAAATCGCTCAAACTTGGGCACAATGATGAAATATTAATCTAAAAACTATCGTTTCAAGTAGAAAGCGTTTTCAACACCTGAAGCTGGCACTCCTAAGGGTTTGAGCAGCAAGAGCCTGCGACACACAACCGCTCTCTACGGAGCCAAATGCTCGAATGCGACACAACATTGCGGTTGAGGACTCGTGGTGCGGCTGAAACCATTGTGCGTATACGAAATAGATAATGGCTACTAGAATAAATGGTTCGCGGGTATGATTTTAAAGTACTCTATCACGATTACAGAACACACGTATTCAAATTTATATTCTTAGTTAATTCAATTTCGCCTTTAAAAAAAGTAGTTTCATTACACGAATTATAACCTTCACCTGTTTTCAAACATTTATCAGAGTTTAGCAGTCCCATTACGTAGCATGTGCAGTTTTTCATTGATTCCAGGATTTTTGAACACCCACATAGGCTTCCATCCGCTTAAAATGACTCATTATGGATACTCTTCCTTGCTTTAACATATCATTTGGAGGTTCTATCTGTCTAACAAATCATTATTTCTTCGTGAACTAATATATTCATGTTTTTAGATTAACTCCACTAAGAGATGTACACGACCGACCAAATTAATTAGTATCTTAATGATTAGCCAGAAAGATTTTTTGTAATTAAAGGCAAACCAAATCCCACTTTAATCATCATGGAACTGGTAATGAAGTCTACATCGTAAAGGAAAAAAATATATTTAATATGTTCTCGCTGATGAATTTGAATTATCGATGTCAGCTGAGCTAGTGAAATATCAAATATTGCTGAATTGACCAATCATTTTTAATTTCTTACCGTGCAGGATACCTCTATCCGGTGGTTAGATTTGGCTCCTAACGCTTCTGTCTTGCAGAGCGTCATTCATTCACTGAAAATCAAAGTTGAGAAAAAATATCCATACCTAATAAAATTAGGCTGCAAAATAAAAACCATTAGCGATAGTCCGACCGAACTAGAATTGTAATTTTGTTTTTAAAAAATACCCATGTATGATGTATGTCAGAAAGTAACTTTATTTTGGTCGTATTGGACATAATTCATCGAATACAGATTAGAATCACAGATTTTAATCAAAAAAACTAATTTTTAAACACCCTTAAGCTTGAAGTGCGAGAGTGAACAATTTAGGTGCTGAAGCTCCCCCCCTCCATACAGCGACGTTTCTCAGCATATGTTAGCCTAATGAACTCTCTTGTTCACTCTTCCTGGACCAGAAAGTGACTTTTAATTGTGAGTCATGGCGGACATGGCGGGAAGTTTCTATTTAGAAATTTGCAGTGAACAATTTATGATAATATATGTAATATCCATCTTCATATGCAAATGACGACAAACGTAGTACTTTAAGCACTATTAACATTATTCATAATATAAATGACCTTCAATTCTCTCTTATCAATTATTAGTGTACGATACTACTTCATGTTATTTATGACTCGACTTCGAAATTTTGTCGGTTATTCAAACCTGAAGATAAATGGCCCCATCAAAATATTTTGTACGTGACTTATTATCATCATCCAGAAAAAGATTGGGTAAGTATACAATTAAAATATATTCTGATATGGAAAATGGAGTTGAATATAATATTTGGTTTAAAAACTCAACTCTATACCTACAAAACTTAGAAAAATATTTATATTTTTTAGTTTTCACACTTCGATCATGCTCAACATGATAACATATAAACAATATTTGTATCTCGTCAATTGCATCACCCTGGATTCTTTCCCCTGTTTATTGATACAATCATAGCACCATTCACTGAGATCTCATTGTAATCCGACGCCTTAAAGAACCGAATCAAATTCTGACGCAAACAGCGGCGCCTGGGATGATAACATATAAACAATATTTGTATCTCGTCAATTGCATCACCCTGGATTCTTTCCCCTGTTTATTGATACAATCCCAGCACCGTTCACTGAGATCTCATTGTAATTCGACGCCTTAAAGAACCGAATCAAGTTCTGACGCAAACAGCGGCGCCTGGGAAACGCTGTGTAACCTCACGGAATTGGACGCGCATGAGGTCCTCTGATCAAACCGTTGTCCTTGATGATAACGGCCGCGTGCACATCAGACCTTGGGCTTAATTCTCTGAAATTTGATTGCATTTATATTAAACTTTATTTCATTTTAGTGTATGAAGGTTTCAGTAGAAATTTGTATAACTGAATAACAGCAAAATCATAAGTGATATAAAATAAGCGTATACAAATAAAATGCGATGTTACTGCTGATGACTCAATAACTTTGATAACATTTTACGAGGCATATAACTCTATTCAATAACAAAAAGCTGCGATATTTTACCTGCATGTAATAAATTTCAGCTTAAATGCTTTATCTGCAGCCATTTTCGCAAAATTCAATTTTTCCCGATTCCTTTCTTCATTAATTACAGACTCAATTTAACTTAATGCTGCGCAATTGCGTGATGAAAGATTTTGTCTGTTTCGCAGCACTGAGATACTTGCCATTGGGTTATGACTAGTGAAGCAGCAAGTTTCCTGAGGTCATGTGAAGAATTTTTCCGACCTATCAGACTCAGAAAATCAATAATTCCGTGGTAATTAGTAATTACACTTTGAATCATAAAGAGAATCATTACAGTATGATTGTCCGGAAGCCTATTGGGATTTAGTTAATTAACTCGAGTGAAGCTAGAGGCATGGCAACTGAATTGACAAGGACTGCAATAAAACAGTACCAGCTCCATGAAATGTAGCACTTTTTGGATTCAAAGTAAAAAATATGAGCACTTGAAGTGGTAATTATTAATGGCCATGATGGGCAACATAGATTTAAATACTTCAACTTGCATTGCAATTACAGTTGTGCTTTTTTAACTGACGCCGTCGACCAGGCTAAGAAATTCATTTTCGTCCCGATAACTAGTTATTGCATAAACAAAAGCTTACCATTAATAGATGATGATTAAATTGCTGCGCAGTTCGCCGATGCAGTCGGCTGCAGTTCGAGTGTCACAGCGGGGAATGCATCGCCATCTACGACACGTGCAACGGCATCCCTCAGTGCGAGGACGGCAGCGACGAGGGTGCTGACCTCAACTGCCCCACCACGCAAGGTAAAACACCAATAATTATTTACAATTATCAAAACTTTGTATTGGCGTTGTTGCACTTAAAGAAAATTATCTCTATGTAATAGAATATGTTGGAGTTAGTAACCTATTCTGCTCCACCAAGCAAGGTAAAAGACGAATAATTAATTACCATTATCAATACTTTGAATTGTCATTGTAGCACTTGGGAAAATTACGATTATGTAATAGAATTTATTCCTGTAGTAGTTAGAAACCTTATGTGCTCCACCAAGCTAGGTACAAGCCCAGTAATTAATTACCATTATCAAAACTTTGAATTTTCATTGTAGTACTTAGGAATTTCACGCTTATGTGAATATGTAGTAGACAGTAACCTAATCTGCTCCACCACGCAAAGTAAAAGACGAATAATTATTCACAATTATCAAAACTTTGAATTGTCATTGTAGCACTTGGGAAAATTACGGTTATGTAACAGAATATATTATCATTGAATTAATTAAAGAAAATTGTGATTATGTAATAGAATATATACCTACTTATAGTAGTTAGAAACCTAATCTGCTCCACCATGCAAGGAGAGGAGTCCTCAGGCATGGATTAGTGCGACCGAAATATCTCGTAGCAGCCGAGAAATCAATCAACTTTGTGAATAATTTTGTCTTTCTTAAGTTCCGATCTGATGTTGTGACCATAATTACATAACATGGTTTCACTGATGGGTAATCAGTAAATTTTATGGCAAATATTAAGAGGGATTTCCGTCAGATCCAACCCTCGTGCGCGGGGAAATGGACGATCTTCGATCATCGTCGGCAATAGGACAAACCTCTGGCTTGGGTTCGGCCTTAAGACCCGGAATGGAGGAGGTAGGATCAGTCGGATCACAGGCTGGATCCCGAGCCGGATCTGACCGATCATCCGGACCAGAGTTGAACAGATTGAACGATGTTGACACCAAAACAAGCCCGCTGCGAACAATCGGAGAATTGACTAACCTGCGATATGTTGGTGACGGGCTGTCGCAAAAGGGGATTCTAGATGGAGGGCGAAAATCTCCCCTAAATCCGTTGGGAGGCAAGGGGAGGGAGCCTCAGGAAGTGGATGGTCGGGAAGGCTATGAAGGCTCCCGACTCCGGGACAGCGAGCGGATGACTCCTGAGCAGCTGAGCCCCTCGTACGGTCAGTGACATTAATTTAGTGCAATTTACAAAATATCACCCTATAATTGTTATAATGGAGAAAAAATTATCTATGCTCAATCATCAATGGAATCCATAATCATGAATTCGTGATGAAATTTTTTAATTGATGAATTGATTATTTTGATTGATGAAATTTTTTAATTGATGGAATTTTTTGATTGATGAAAATTTTTTAATTTACTCTTTCCAAATCAGGAAATTCTTGGGTTTCGGAATCGGAACTCAAATTTATCTCTTTAACTTGCCTAAAGGTGTCATTTCAGATGTCGTGCTTCCGTTAATTTTAGCATTTTTTCACTAAATAAATGATAGTGTTATTCCTATTCTGCATGAACTGGATAGCAAAGACTGGCATGTAACGTTATTCCTCGCAGCGTTGTTGTTACCTTATCCTGAATAGCTCGGGAATGACCACAAGAGTGACAAGACTGTGGCAGGGTTGCCCAGTGGTGTAGCAGAGTGGCCCAGTGGTTAAAGTTCAGAGTACCAAGATTGGAGCAGAGATGCGCAGGTTCGATCCCAGCTCTGTGCGCCAGTTTCTGGTCTGAATCTGCAAGGAGGCCGGGCGGTTAAGCAAAGTAAAATTGAAGCAGTCAGTTGCGCTTCGAAACCGCAACAAGCTGTGAATATTCTGCAAAGTTAAGAATCGGCGACAGGCCTACGGCATACTAAACACTGAAACCGTTATTATTAAGTTGCCCTCTCCCGGCATGCAGGTGCAGAGCGCGGCATCTTCAGCCACCGTGCTACGCTGCTCGACTCCTATGGTCGCTACAGCGCGCCGCTACAGGGGTGAGTGTATCCTCCTTACAAACTTGGCATCGACGTTTTAATTATCAGTTTTATAGTGAATATTTATTACATAGATATGCATGTATAATTTTACTGGTTAGCCCAATCAGATTGTAATGTACGCAATATTATATATCTGTTGTATTTATTATGGAAACTACTATGGAGCACTGGTGAAATATTATGCACTGTTAAACAATTTTTTCGGTCAATGTGCACTAAAGGTGGAGCTTTCGACACTAAAGTGTCGAAAATTTTCAGCTTTAAGTCATTAATTAAATTTCAAAGACTGCATAAAGCTGTGGAAAAGTATATGTTCAGACTTGAAATGTCTTGTCTTCCATATCGAACTTGGTCCAAGAAGTCTAGTAGCTATTTCAAACTATCGTCAATTTCGAAAAGATCCAGACGAAGGACCTGTTTTTAGATCTCCTGTCACGAAAAGTACAAGAATCGGCAGCAGGCCAAACCAGGCTTATTCTTCAGTGCCGACATCGACAATGAGTTGAAATTTTCTAAGCATATTGAAGGTCAAGTTAATAAAGCCAATAAACGACTTGGACTGATCAGACGCTCTTTCGAGTTCCTAGATGCAAATCGTCAGTTATGGAAAGATCGGGTTCCAAAGGCCGGATCCCCTGTGAATCAAGTCACGAAAAGTTCAAGAATCGGCAACAGGCCATGGGCCTATTTCTTCAGCGCCGACACTTCTATTCTATTCTATTCTATTCTATCACTATGATATGATATAATTGTGCAGCCTAATTGTGAGACTGCAGTAGTTTTCCCCGGAAATTTGTCTCTAAGAAAGTGTCATCGTGAATTTTCTAATGGAAAATCTTCATACATTTATGGGAGACTAAATTAAACGTACACAGAGTCACTATGTAATATGAATATTTGATACATTAGTTATACCGCACGCCAGGTACGAGTCCCGTTACAAATTGAGACCTTTAAACGGTTGGTTTGGTTATTAAGTCGATTGGAATTTCTGAATATTGTTGCTGAATGTTCAACATTCGAGCAACTGGCTGAACGACACTACAGAAAATGAAACTTTACTCTTTAGAAAATGATGAATCACAGAATTTATTAATTAGGTTTCCTAATCGTATTCTTGCCGTGTAACTTATTCTTATTTTTGAGAATATTTTCGGTGTTTGACTCTAACTTTCGACCAAGTTATCGATTAAAAAATGGGAGACAAATGATCCCAACTAGAAACTTTCCACAATATGATTGACGAAATGCTCGTAACGACAGAATATTTTCCCAGTGGAGGCATTAAAAGGTTCAGGTATCAAAACCGCAGATATTTTATGGAACCAATATTATGGTCTCTATATTAGTTCATAATAGTCACTTAACATTCAAGAGGCTAAAATATTCATAATGTTCAGTAGGTTCCTCAGTAAGGAGGCCCTAATACACAACGCATATTAATACGTAACGATAGCGTCCACCTCGACAGAGTATACGGTAGCGCAGCGGAGGACCTGGCGGGCTATACGGGCAGGGGCCGCGGCTACAACGAATACGGCCTCAACAACCGCCCTGCCCTCTACGAGGGCTCCCCCTACCTTGGTACGATGGTATATGCTTTCATCATTTATATTGTTTTCCCAATTATGCTGCATCATTGGTTTTAGTTAATTATTTATCCGAACCGTTAATATTTGTACACGAGCTATATCGTATCATCAATATTGGAAAAAGATTCACTACATATTATGAATATTTTGATACATTAGTTTTAACGAATCATTAATATTGGAACACCAGTTACCCGAATCGTTAATCTTGGTACACTACTACTGCTCATCATTAATATTTAGCACTCGAGCTATTTCGGATTGTTAATGGTGTTGTCAATTAATGATATAGGTAGACAGCTAGCATTTTACAAGAAAAAGACACATGAAACCTATTTTATACGTGTAAAGATTGATAACTATTTGTAATCATGCTACCATAAAGTTGATTGATTTCATTTTACAATTTACACATATATTTATTGCAAGGTTTGTACTGAATAATGTTCCAACAATATTTAATAATTTTTTATAGGCTTCCATGATGAAACTTACCACTGTTAATTTATACGAGATATTAAGCTTGAAGCATTTTCTGCGATTGATTTTCATTTGTTCTTTCATTTCATTCATTTTTTTCTCTCGATGTACTTCAATATTATATATCCCCAATATAGTAAAATTCAAATAGTTTTTAGAGTAATTATCCTTTTTTATGATTGAATTTGGAGTGTTTTTTTCTGGTGAAGGAGACTCGGACCAGCGCTCGGGGGTTTACCACCGCGGTGACGCCCAGCAGCAACCACCGAACCCTGGGCAATACTACCCTCCTAGAGGACCGTCTAATGTACCCGTGAGTAATGTATCCCTCAGGCAAATGAAATTTATACAACGTTAATTGCAAGTTAATTTCGTTGAAACAACTTTTAACAGACGTTATTTTAATGTCAGATGCTGATGAGTGTTTGTCGGATTTATTGCGTATTAGTCATGTGGTTGGCTGGTATTTCATAACCTTACTTGAAGACCTGGATACTTCCAGGATTTGATTTGGTCAAAATAATCTAATTTTAGACAACTTACTATGAGTTGGTGGTTGTCTGCTTCATTTCATTTTAGCAAATTTGTTTTGGGCGCAGGTTTTCATTACAATATTGGCTTGCCGATAATTGTAACGGCGTTTCCATGCGCATTAGTATTTTATGGGTTGCGAATCTATTGGTATCCAAAGGCAAAGCCTATGAGCGTTCTTATTGTTATATAATTTCCTTGACTCAAATATTTATTTTCATAATTCAGGTATGTTGGCTGACATGACCAATTCCTCCTTTTTATATTGAAAAGTGATTTAATCACCAAACCTAGAATTAAAATTATCCCGTATCTCATGCCTACTCAAATGAATTTGGCAGATAAAGACTTGGGGTGAACCAGGCCACCTTGGGTCTCTTCAATCGATATCTCAACAAACTTCCCCTGAACTGCAGCTGCAGCACAACGCTCTGCTGCCATACCAACAGCAGCAAACGCTCAGCAGTTATATGCATCCGATGCAGCAGCCTGGATTACAGATGTCGCAGATGCAGCACCTGCAGGTACCTGACCAACAGCTGCAGCTACAGAGGCAGCAGCTGTTGCCAATAGCTGATCAAATGGCATCTGTTGGAGGCAGGAAGCCTGGATATGGCATCGAAGATGCCAAGCATCAGGTGTGTTAAAGTTCAATTACTAGAGAAACTTTCGCTATTTAGCCGAACGATAGCTACATCTGCTTCTAATTCAGCAATTGCCATGTTAAAAAGCATAAATTGTGTTCGTTTCCATAAATCAATATGCACAATGATGCAGAATGTCGAAAGTGTTCAGGCACCATTGTCGAATTTACGTTGGCATTAACACCGAGCATCATAGTATTGTGTACCAAATAAACAAACATGAACCGAAAAAATAGAGGTTTTGCATGGTTGCTGAAAATCATGCAGCAACATAAATACTTGTTATGGAATCGACGAATCGTAACGTACTTCTATACCAGTCACATTTCCTGTCGTACATCAGGAGAATGGAAGCACTTGCGATCATATTCCAATTTTTGGAATATGATTTGAGATTAGCCTGCATTTTGTACTTTTAGTGTCATTCTGTTTTGATTTATTTTATAAAAAGCATGTTTTTATTTACCAGGAAGAGCTTTCCCTCTTCGGCGATCGGCTCTCCAGTGGAATCAACATCCCGGGAGACGAATCCATATTGAACAGAGGTCATAAATTAGGCACAAATGAGAACTGGTTTATCATTTCCTTCGTATAATTTAACATTTACTAACAAATTTTCTCGGATAAAGTTCATTCCAGTCTTATCAATTTGTTTTACCTTAAGAGTAAAACTCAAAGCTTCACCGGAAAGATGGAATTTTCGCAATTATTTTCAATATTTTTACTCAAACAACACAAGTCGAGAACAGGTCTCGTCATTAGCTAATCCCCAGTAAAAATTTAAAGACGCGGCAGCTCCTGATTTGGATTACCAGAAGCTGGGGCGACTCTAAATTTTTTTAGGGTCTCGTCCTGCTTGTTAATTCATCATTCAAATTCCCTCTTTAACTGCAGATTACCCAGCCCAGGCTGCAACGAGTGGGTCAGTTCCGGGCCAACACAACACGACCAAAAACATCTCAGCGACCACCATCGTTCCCTCGGTCACGTCGAATGAATCCGTTTCCAAAAATTCTACCAATGTTCCTCCTCTGAACTCCAGCACACCAGCGCTGCCCGCGGCAGAGTCTTACTCCATCTTGGGATCATGGAGTGCCATTGTGGCCAAGTGGAAGCTTGACCCAGCTGTAATTGATGCAGAAAAAAAGGAGAACAAACTTCAGCGATCTGGAGCAGTTATTGCTCTTAGTCTCGGTGAGTATAGAAAATAATTCTTGGTAAAATTTAAAAATTCATGACGCGTATACACTTTCATCAATGGAAGTGAATGAAAAGCATTTCCATCGCTATATGTAATTTTCATGTAGAATCCTCACACATTTCGCAATACTGTAATGGGAAAAGATCTAAAATAAGTAGATGAATTAGCATAAAAAAATAATTTTAAGAGCCTTGCTATGAGCTGGAGCAGATGAAGATGCTCTTTCACTAGTCATTTCAATTTTTTTCATTGCAAAGCCGAGCTATAATGTCCAACAACTTTTCCAGTTGGACTTTTTTCGAGTTTGATAGCAGTTGACTGCCGGAAACAAAATGTGATTGTTTATTTATGGATTATTTAAAATAATATTTTGGGGTCATTGAAAAGAGATGCTATAAAAGTTAATTAGGACAAACCACTAAATCATTATGAACATTGAAATCATGATAGTAATTTATGTGTGTAATATGTTCATAATATATTATGTTTGTGTGTTCAGTGATAAATACTGGCCGAGAAAAACTTAATAATAGATTGATTTGAATATAAATATTATTATAAGAGATAATGATCCTTTCCCTGCCCCAGGCCTGACCGTGAGCGCTGTGCTGCTGCTGCTGGTCGGATGCCGCGTGCGAGGGCTGCGCCGGAGGCGTCACAGAGGCGGCCGCTCATCCTACGCCCATGACGCTGATTACCTTGTCAACGGCATGTACTTATAAACTCATACGCCGCATGGATATTGTTTGCGTATTACTTGCGAGATTTTCCAATAATAATCAAAGTATTGATGAAGATTAATTTAATCTTGCTAGTTATCCTGGGAATAATAAACAAATGATAATATTCTAAATGTCACTATTTACATTTATTGTAAGAACAGATTATTGGATGAGGCACCGTTGCACAGTCTACTTCTATGAAAAATTATTAATACTCGCAGAAAAATTCACATGGCCAAATTTTTCACCAGGACGAAATGTTTTCCACAGCACTAATATTGTGCTGCGGAAAATTTTTGAATTCATCTAATTTTTTACGTCACTTTTTGTGTTCCGGCTGCGTTATGGTAATCCTGCTACGCCTAAACTTGACAAAACAGTTGGCAGACTTTGAAAAAAATCTCGCTGTTGATACCAAAAGTTCGGAGAGATTTACGGAGGAGCGAGTGGAAGGAATTGTGATCGCCTATTAAGGTTTGCACATGCGTTAGAAATGATATTTATAGATAAAATGCCTGGATGTTAATAACAATTCACAACCTTGTGCAGAGTCATTGCTAGAAATCCTGCCTAGAATCATTTAACGTCATTTCTCTTTATGCGTTTTTTTAGTTTTTGGTAAATTTAGTTTTCATTCCACGAACTTACTAGCTAAAATTTATATTATTAATGATGATCAAATGAGTCTCGGCTCACACCGAGCTCATATATTTTGATAAGACGCGTTCAGTAATTACAGTATTTTTTCAACGAATATTCCTACGTTTGAGTCGTTATGTTATCCATGCCATATTATTGTCGAAAAAAACATGCCTAAGTTTAAGTGTTGCCTGTCAAGTGTGCTTTATGAGTGAGTGAAATATAGTTAAATGTTAGAGGATAATTTCACTTAGTTTAGCAACGTGTGTTTTTCTTGCAGCGTTGTTTGTTGTGCGTACCATTGTTCGCTGGCACGAAATAATTAGCAGAGAAATGCTTGCCTATATATTGTGACTAAACACTAGTCGCAACTGCTTTCAAGTGTTTCATATGATAATTTAGTGATGGATGATCAAACGATCGTAAGCCATATTATGATCTCATAAATCAGTTATATATAAGATCACTTAACAACATATGATCAACATTAAATCTCAATTATGAAATTGGCAAAGACATTTTCAGGCTAAATTGACATTCTTGAGTAGCGATCAACTAAATGAACATAACGATTCAGCGTGTGAGAATCATTTAAGAAATGAGAGGCGATATTAATCTAAATAATCAATGGAAATAATCTATTTGCACTTTTGCAGCGAACTTTTAAAAATTAGGTAATGAGAACAATTTGAAACAATAAAAGAACCTCAGATATCGGATAAACTTGTCTACTCGGTGCCGTGCACCGAGCCATAAAGTTTTAGTAGCATTCGAAAAATAGTGAGCAAGCTATTCAAGTGAATGATGATTGCCTATACAATGTAGATGAAGCTGAATTAGATGATACGCCATTATATCCAGTCACAAGTCCAGGTCCCGGTGCCCGTAGTTTATATAGGCCTAGGCAGGCAATTGTGCCCGTGTAGCGCTAGGCAAATTTAAGAATTTGAATTAAATATATTATTGATGTCCGCAATATAATTGATGGACCGTGCAGGATCATGTGCAAGAACTTCCGGATTAGAATAGGTGGTTTGAGAAAGACAAATCGTCTTTACAATAATACCAGAACGATGAAGCTAGAACTAATATAATACGATTACACTTGATCCGTTTTTCGAGCATATTCTAAAGGTATCCCTAAATAAATTATTAGGTTAAAACTACCGATTGAGGGTTTTGATATTTCAGTCTAAGACAAGAACATTGACTGCAGCAACGAAATTCTTAATAGGGACGATAAAAACCGAAATAATTCCAATAAGAAAAAAATTTCTCCGGCGCATTGATGGACCGACACGACACTGCCTTACACCGACTTGGACTTTGTACTTGGTGTTGCCTAATACACCTGCTTTAGATTATAGAACGCATAGCCGATATGTATGTATGGATAGTTGAACAGAACGTATTTTTGAATGAATCAATTTACGTTTTTGCATTTTTTGCATATCATTTTCTAAAATTTGATGCTAATAGAGAGGTTATTGCTAAAGGGCACTTTACATGGGTAGTAAGCAATACATTTTTGTATAGTAGTTTTTCTCTCGACTCAGTAGCTGAAACTTGGTAAACAAATAGGTCACTAACAATGGACATAGATATCGATTCAAGAATGTATCTTTTAAATAGTAGAGAAAATTTACGTCTGTTTTCCTTAAAAGAGTCACCGAATAGCATGCATGTCTTCCCTGAAATTCCTTTCGTCCAAAGTTCAACGGGAGTAGAAATTTCGGATGGAGATGTCCATTCAATTGGGAATTTCCAGTCTATCTATAGTTTCCAGTGTCGTTCCAGTCTGTTGCTGGGAAGTTATATGGAACATTATAACCTGTTGTTATTTTGTGTTGTTCCAGGACCAGTTGATCCATCCGTATCGTGAAAAATAAATTAATATATACTGGTATTTTCCTTCACCTTAGCCATGACTTAAGCGCCAAAAACGTTTGTCGATGAACGATCTTTACTGTTGAAAAGTATAAAAACTTATAATAAATAAAATTAATCCAAGACGAAAAAATAAATATAACGCCTGAATAATATTTCATCTATGTTGCCATTGTTGACCCAATTTGTTTTTTTAACCAATTGATGCCGAACTTTTTAAAAATTCTCCAGAGTTTGGCCCGAGTTGCCTGTGGTTTGTTGTTGCCTCTACCAGTTTACACAATCAAAAATATGGCAGAATCGAGCTCTGGGATTTTCAGAGCTAGGAATATGTTCTAAGTTAAATTCAATTAGAGTAAAGTTTCGATGGCGGTCTTCAGGTTCTGTCAAATTGCGATCTTTGTCGGAACTTGAAGAAAAGTGCTGACGAAGCGAGATTATACGGCAGCGCTCTCTGATTGTGCATTAAATGAAATTCGCGCGGATCTGCTGAAGAGCGGACAAACCGACTTTAACTTGTTCATTTTTAAGTGTAGGCCTCCTACGGTTCTTGGCTTGGCTACTGATGTATATCACATTATGTTCAAAATAAGATCGAACATAGTGATGATGAAGTACTATATCATGTTGACTGTACCAAATCTATCAATCATCAACCAATGAGATCAACCTTATTCAGGCAAACCTAATCAAATTTTTGGAGCTTCGATAGAAACATTCTTTATATTTTTTAATGGTTTGATTTTACTCTGGTTACTCTCAGGTGGTAAGTGGGCAAATTTACAAATACAGAGTTTATCGTAACTGAAGAGGTTATGAATGGAGGTTATGAATAAACGTTTTTCATAATCTTCACGGTCATCCATTAAATTTATCGTAAATAGCTGTTAAAAATAATTTTTTGTTTAATTTTTAGGATAGAAGAATGAAAATCATTTCACAGAAGAATAATTCACGTGCAAATTCTTCCACCAAGTTTGTTCAACCGTTAAAGTAGACATCGAATTCTAGCATATTATTTAGTTTAATTCACAATTTATTGAACGCAACTCTACACTAAAGAATAAATCCACCGGCTCCATTCCTTGCAACGCTCTTCAGCTTGCTCGTGGGTAACATTTTCATAGACTGTTGAGAATCTGATTGCTGCAGGAATTTCAGGTAAGGAATATTTCGGTACAAATATTTTTTACTGTCGGGTTTGCTCTAGGAGTCCGATATTAGGCATCACCATTCTTGAAGCAACTACAATTGACAATTTCAACGAAACTTCGAAGCGCCCGAAAACAAAAAATAAGGGAACGCTCCAAACATTCCTAAAATTCTCTGCTAAATTGACGTACTCTTGCAGGAATAATTTTCTTTGAAGTGAAACGAGACCATCTTGATAACATTCTTCCGTATAGTTTTCACAAGAAGATGAAGCAAAGATCTTCAAAATTGTTTCAGCTGCTGGAATATTTTCGTAGCTGTCCATAGCGCAAAACTGAAGATTCATCATAGAACAAATCATGCCGAGCTTTGATTCACTGAAACTGTTTGAAATTGTAATGAATTTTATGCAAGGGTCTTTCCTAGTTTCCGAGTAGAGTCCTAAAATTATTGAAGTATTGAGTCAATAATTTTTAATTGAAAGACATGAATGAAAATCATCGAAGGAAAAAATTTAACCTATGAAATATCAGCTTATGCTGGAACTAGATATAATTCTGCACATTCCCCCAATAAAATAGAAAAATTACAATTTCGCGCGAGTATACATGTACAAAATTATTCAGTTCGTTTGACGTATGCTGGTAAGTAGAAAAAGTTGAATTTAATAGCTTTTTTAAAAGTTGGATCTAATAAACGAGTCATTCGACAAGCCTCGTTCTTGAGCCTTCCAACTAGAAAACCATGAAATCATATTGGCGCGTAGGATTCATTTTTCGAAGAGTGTTTTCTTCTGCGCGAGTCTGCAGCTCATCAAAGTTTGATATTGCCGCACCTCTAAGCCTGAAAAGTTCTGTTATTAAAGTACATAGACGCACCCACCTCGACGCTGTAGGCCACATGGCAGCGGCATATGTAGGGGTAACGGCCATCTTTCATTACGACTTCAATTAATACATTTTCTTGACGAACAAGCTAAAAGAAATGTTTTTGAGACACGCTCTCAGCAACGGGGAGATGCATTCTGTGATGTCTTAATTAATTTGAGTAAATGATGATGCACTGTGAACAAGATTGCAGTTTCGCTTGTGCAGCAAACCTGAAACTGCGACGGACATATTTTTCTTACACGAGTGAAGAATTAACGAGTAGAATAATTTCTGCTTGTTGCACTGAGAGTTACGTCCTCTGTAGTTTGTATTAATAGGATGAGTTCTGTAATTTTTCTAATCTTCATTCGAAATTCATCACAAGTTTGTCAGCTTTATCTCTGAAAAATATGAAATAAATTAGAGTAAAGACTGAATTTTATCAAGTGGGATGATGATGGGAGAATTTTTAAATAATAACTGCTTTCTTTTCATTGAAGCTGGGACTTTGAGAAAGATTTGGGACAGTAATTGGGTAATGTTGAGGTGATTTGAAAATTGGTTATGAGAATGACGGTGGCATTTGTAATGCTCACCAGTGTTTCATGGCATTCGAATATTCCGTAACTTTTAGTTCCGAGTAGTTTATGAGTACTAATATTTTTTTCTTATTTATATTTTTATAAGAGTACTCATACTTTTATTTCGTAATTTTTCTGGACCTAAAAAAGGCCTTCGATTATGTGAATCACCAAGTACTATTGGGTAAGCTCCACCGTTATGGAATTAGGGGGACTTTCCTTGCACTTATTCAGTCTTACCTCAAGAACAGAGAGCAATTCGTCGCATTCACTGATTCAATTTCCCCTTATAAGGCCCATCAATATAGGTGTACCTCAGGGCTCTGTACTTGGGCCTTTATTCTTTAATATTTTTATTACTGATATCGCTTCATCTTTTAATGTGCGCTGCAAGCTTTTTGCCGATGAAGCCATGTTCTATGTCTCGAGAAACTCGTATGACGAAGCGTGTAACAATATATCAGAGCTGTCATTGAATCTGTCAAGATGGCTTCTAGCAAACAAGCTAGTGGCACATACAGACAAGACCAAGATAATGCTTTTTACTCCCAGACCCGTTTCCGTTTTACGTGACATCACTTTCAATGGGACAATTTTACAATGGGTAGATGAATTCAGGTATCTTGGTTTAATCCTAACAAGATCTCCTTCAATAAACACATTAACCACGTCTGTCAGGGACTGAGTTAAGCCCATGGAGTTTTGCTGCCTTATCAAATGTTTTACCTTTCCCTTCAATGAAAACGTTTTTTTACGCATTGTCCTTATCAAAACTATCAAGCGCTTTAGTAATCTGGGGTGGTGTACCTTTCAATACAAAAAAACGGGTCATCATATTACTTAATTAATCGTTGCGTTCTATGCTTAGGGTTAGGTATGACGATAATAATATTCCTTTGATATGCACTACCGAATTATATAGGCAGTCGAATATTTTAAAACTTGACTATATGTTCAGATTTCAACTTTTAAAGTTCATGAATAGCGCGCCTTACCCTAATTTGTTTTGTCTTTTTAAATCTGCTTTCGTCGCTCTTGTTCCCCAACATTCTCACAACACCAGGGGCGTTCAATGTAACCTGCCACCGGTTCGTTTTGAAATAGAAAAAAGCGGTACCATTTTGTTTGTTTTAAATATTTTAACGAATTTCCAGATGAGTTCAAACGAAATTGCTTTAAAATGTTTAAAAAAATAAAATTCCGTAATTTTATCCATAACCAGTAATTTTGATTTCGATTATTATGCAAGTTTTAAGCATTTTGGCTGGATGTTTGCAGTTGTACACTGTTTTACTATGTGTAATGTTGATACTGTCTCATTTATGCTGAATTTTCTACTATGACATGCAGTTATCAGCTTTTTAAGGCTTTTGTCAATGGTTTTGAGCAGAAATTTTTCCTTGAGATCAAAAGAGACGTTCCCGTAGAGAGGGAGTCTCAATTTATATTTTCCACATACGTTTTCTGATTCATGTATATAATTAATTTTTCTTTGGCATAAAGATAATGATCTGAAGCTAGACATATTCAGAAGTCAATTCGAATTCTGTTCAATAAATTCCATTCATTTAAATTTCGGACGAAATTCAGCTAAAAATGGCAATGAATAAATTGTCAATAGGATAATTCGATAGGATAGGAACTCCTCTGTGTTCATTTGCAGACTCCAAGTAGAACGGAACGACCTTTCTTTTTCCTCTAATTCAATTGATTAGAAACTAGAGAAGCGGTCGTCGGTAATTCCAGAGATGCGAAAGGGGAACTCATTCGAACAATTTTATTATCTTAACTCTTCAATGGAAACTCGTTTGTCTGTCTCTTCAGACGTACGGAAATAGTTCATCACAATTCAATAGCGCAAAAGAATTGGAAAATTATTCTATAATGCAGTGAGTGATTAACTATTCATTCAATGAATTTCTAACCATGCAACGGAAAATAATATTGTCGTAATTCCTTAAACAAAATCATTAATATTATTATTTTTTAAAATCGTACGAGGAGAAGCAAACTACAATCTTTCATTTTACTCAGTTCAGTAATTCCAAATTCAATTTACTATTGGTTTCGAGTAAAATCGTAAGTTATAGCAATGAATATTGAATCAGCAGTCCACAAGTTTATAACGGTAGTAGTTTTTTGCAAGTGTAAGTACGTCGTAAGACAGTAATACTTTAAAAGTCGAAGTTATGGTCAGTTAGCTTGGCTCTCAATTTTCAATAAAATGAAAGCTTTGTGTTTCACATGACCAGTTTGCTATTTAATGGCTTCTCTTTTAAATTTGAGTTCATTCAATGTACGAGGTAAATAAAAAGTCTCAATTTAATTATCGCGCATTGGCGGAAAACTAATTAATTCTTGGACTTAAATTAATCCTAAAAAAATGTAACCATACTTTAAAATCTCTGCACT